GCTCTGGGGCAGTCCTGCCCAGCCCCCTCCCTCGCCCCGATGGAGCCCGGGAAGCCGGCACAGGCAGGGCGGACCCCCCGGAGTGGAGTGGGGGGGCTCTGATATTTCGATATAATAAAAAGTGCATATTAGGCTTTCTTCCCGGTTCCTGGTACAAGAGCTGCTCTAACTTCCGGAATTTCCTGAGTGACTGGGGTGAGAGGGGCCTCTTTGGGCTTCATGATGAGCCTCCCGTGACCACGCCTGAGTTTATGCTATAAGGAGGTGACTCTGGGAGGGCGGGGGCCTGTGACCAGGGCACTGGACCCCCGTGGTTAGAAGCTTGGTACTTTCGGCCCCGCCCGACTTCAGGGGTGGTGGGTGGGAGACTGAGCTGATCTTGCCTGTGGAATGAAACCTCCATAAAACCCCTAAATGATGGGGTTCCAGGAGCTTCCCCCTAGGTGAGCTCGTGGAGGTGCTGGGAGGGTGGTGCACCCAGAGGGCACAAGGAGCCCCCGCCCGGGCCTCTCTTCCCTCGGCCTGTTCCCACGTGGGCTCCTGTTTATGATATACCAGTGACGGTAGTAGAGTGTTTCCCTGAGTCCTGGGGCCGTTCTAGCAGATGGACCCCCCCCGCCCCGGCTGCCACTGGAGTCTGGAGTGGGGTCCTGTGGCACGGACCCTTGGCCCTGGGATCAGCATCAGAGAGCTGGGAAGCGGTGCTGGAAACAACCCCACAGACAGGTGTCAGTGGGGAGAACAGCTCCCATCTGGTCCCGAGTGATAGCACATCGGACACGTCCCAAGCGACAGCACAGGGGCGAAGGAGGCAGGGCTCTGCGAGCTTCCCAGGACCCCGACGTGACCGCAGCGGCGGTCACTGGTGCAGACACCAGGCTTTGCCTCAGTGCCCCAGGATCCCCAGGGTTCCTGACTCCGCCGGGCTAGGGCCCAGAGGATTCGCATCACTGAGTCCCCTGGGCTGCGGGCGCTGCCGGTCGGACCCACTCTGAGAACTGCAGGTTTACAGGGCCTGAGCGGAAGCCGCCCTAAGCTGGCCCGTGGTCTCAGAGCTCCCACTCCCTCCAATTCCAGCTCAAAACAAGACCCATGTCTTGCCCCAGGGGCCTCCGTAGGAGCCTCTGCCCCGCCAGCCCGGGCGCACATCTGGCCCGGGCACATCTGGCCCGGGCACATCTGGCCCGGGCACGGAGGAGAGGGAGCCGCGGGAGCGGGTGCGGGGGGAGCAGAGGCTCTCCGCATTCCTTCCTGGGTCTGCGACTCCCAGGCGTGGCCCCTGCCCGCCCACCCAGCGACATTCTTCCAGATCAGCTGCGGCCACATTGAACCTTTTCTGCCCAGCTCTCAGGGAGGCCTGGGCTGGCCACCTTCTCCCTGGGCCACGTGGGTGGAGCAGGAGGAAGTCACCTCGAGTTCCAGGCATTTCAAGGAGCCACAAGCCTGTCGGTGGCCCAGACCTGGGCGTGAGGCCTGAGCGGCCAGGACTTGCCGTGGCCGGAGGGATAGTGTTTCCAACGGGGCCCATGCTCCTCACCCCCACCACAGGCTCCCCAAACTCCTAACTGTGGCAGAGGAAGTGGGGATCCCCTGGCTCCTTCCTGGGATCGCCCAGATGTGCTCAAGACGCACCCAGGCACCCGGGGGCTAGTGCTTTGCCTCTGGTCCCTGAAACTCCGGGCTCTGCTGGTTAGAGGTTTCAGTCAGTCATTCCCTCATTTATTTTTAATCGTCACCCAAGGCCATTCTTTTTTCCACTGATTTTTAGAGAGAGGGAGGGAGG